TTTGGGGTCAGTCCCGGGTGGCTCAGAGCCCTGTGCAGCCGTTCCTGGAATTCCAGCCGTTGGGAATTCCCGGGATCTGCCGGGCTCCGAGTGCAGCGGCTCCGCTCTCTGCCCCTGCAGCCTGGCCATGACCGTGCAGATCCTGCTGAAACTCGACAGGCTCGACCTGGCCAGGTGGGATTGGCCCTTCCCTTTCCCTTTTTCCTTTCCCTTTTTCCTTTCCCTTTTTCCTTTCCATTTCCCTTTTCCTTTTACCTTTCCCTTTTTCCCCTTTTCCTTTCCCCTTTCTCCTTTTTCCCATTCCCTTTTCCTTTCCCTTTTCCTTTCCCATTCCCTTTTCCCTTTTCCATTTCCCTTTTCCCTTTCCCTTTTTCCTTTTCCTCTTTTCCCCTTTTCCCCTTTTTCCTTTTTCCCTTTTTCCCTTTTTCCCTTTTCCTTTTTTCCCTTTTCCTTTTTTCCCTTTTACTTTTCCCTTTCCCCTTTCCTTTCTTCCTTCTCCTTTTCTTTCTCCTTCTCCTTCCCCTTTTCTTTCCCCTTTTCCTTCCCCTTTTCCAAGAATCAAACCAGGCCTCACCTGGTGAAATAAAACACAGAAAACTCAAGGTGAAAGCCCCCAGATTTTTTTGTTTTGTTTGGTTTTGGGCTGAAATCCCTTTTCCTTTGTGATTCCCACTTTTCCTGCAGGAAGGAGCTGAAGAAGATGCAGGAGCAGGACGAGGACGCGACGCTGACCCAGCTGGCCACAGCCTGGGTGAACCTGGCCTTGGTGGGCACCCTCTGCCAGGAGGAGCCAGATGGTCCCAAAACACCCCCAAAAAAAAACCCAAAACACCCCCAAAAACCCCCAAAACACCCCCAAAAAAAACCCCAAAACACCCCCAAACACCCCCAAAACACCCCAGGGAGCTGCTCTGCTGCCCCAGGACTTCAGGACACAAAATGTCCTTGGAGCTGTTTGGGAGTGAGGCAGAACTGCTGAGTTTGGGAAGCAGGAGGGATGAAAAGAAACTCCTCAAATTCCTGGGATCCAGGGGCACACAGCCTGGGGATCCTTTAAATGAATTCCTCAAATTCCTGGGATCCAGGGGCACACAGCCTGGGGAT